TCCCTACACAAGGTGAATCAGGTGGGCCAAATCCCAGGACTCGCCCAGGTGTTTTTAGTTATTTTATGTTGTTTCAATTGGAAATGGCAAGATTGCAGAGAAAATGGGACCTAGGCAAAGTGCTGGAATAAATTTGCCTCAGTGTTAAACAGGGAGCATTTAAATAAACTAATCCAACTGTCACTGTTGCACCAGTGAAACCAATAGAGGCTAACAAAACAACTCCTTAATGTTAGTCCTTAGTGTTGCTTTTTCTTTCTTTTGCCAGCCATTTGCAGAACAGCATCTACATATCATTTACATGCACACTGCTACTACATAAAAAAGTTTATGGTACAAATCTGCTTTGGATCAGATAAATTTCTGTGCTCATAATGTTTTCATTTATGTATCTTTCCTCGAGCTTGAAGGCTAGTAAACTGCATCCAATTCACGGTGTTGTCAAAAAAAATAGCCAGATAACTTTATCAGATATATATTTTTTCTGCTGCTAGAGCGATAACAGAAAGTAATCACTGCTAGGAGATGTGTGAATTCCTATATCGATCAAAGACCAATTCTGTTCTGTATTTGTTTTGTTTCTTTCAACAGGTCATGGGTTATAGGTGCAATAGCTCTGCTCTGCCTATTAGGACTGACCTGGGCCTTTGGACTTATGTATATTAATGAAAGCACAGTCATCATGGCGTATCTCTTCACTATTTTCAATTCTCTGCAGGGAATGTTTATATTCATTTTCCATTGTGTCCTCCAGAAGAAGGTAAGACAAATTATTCCATGCTGAGGAGTCAAGGTACAGGGTATTTTGTTGCCTAACAACCACAGAATAACATTACCTTTGTGCCTTGCATTTTTATTGAACAGACTTGTTTCTGAGCACCTAATAAGGGCTTTATTTAGATTAGAAATCAAAGAGATGCATGGGAATGAGATGATGAATCAGATGCATGGCACTTGCATACCAACAATCATGATGCTCAAGATCAGAATACTGAATACAATGCAAAATCCTGTCATGTAGTCTGGAAAAGGAATATATATGACCTATTAAAGCTCTTTACGTTTTTATAGGACTGATTCTATATTCACTTACACTAGTTGTACATTGGAGCAGTTCCTCTGGCATCAGTGGAGACATCAGTGATGACACTAGTAACATCATTGGTGTTTCTTCAGATTGGTTTGGTCATAAGTTAGAAATGAGTGGGGTTTTTTATCTTCATTTTGATTCAATGAACCATGTGCTCTTAAATTCCATTGATACTTTGGGGGGAATCTCCTGCTTAGTAATCACAACAAGTACTTGTTGATTGAAATGAATATATAAACATCTTTCTTTTCCAGTAACTGGAAGCTAGACTAAGTAACCTGTAGTGAAGATTTATATCTACCAAATTTATATACATTATCATTCCAATGATGTGTCAAGGTCAAAGAGCCTTCTAGGCCTAATATGGTTAAAATGCACCAGTTTCTGTAGCCAGCAACACACAAGGGAGTAATGTGGTTAGGCTCATGTCCAGCCACCTTTGATTCCCCGCTCTGAATGACTAGATACCATTGCAGCTGGTTAGACTAGAGGTGGCATTTAGTTCTAGCATGTGGTTTGAACTTATGCCTTTCAGTGGTTTTATCCACTCTGCCCCATCCCACAATGTTTGAGTCATAGAAAAATAGTGGTGCTACACATTACACTTAGGATATGTTAACTACAATTAAAATGTGAGCATCGGTACCTTCAAGCAAGAAAAAATGTGCGAAGTGCTATCATATGGTTGAGGGATATTGGTTTTAGCCATGTTGGTTTAAAAGCATAGGCAGACAACTCCTCTATCCCAAGAGTTTTGTCATCATATGGTTGTAAAATTAGGGCTTTTTGGGCAAGGAGTAGCCCTAAATTATATTAAATAATGTGCCACGCTATCATAGGATTGCCCCATGGAGATACAAGCAATCCTCAAAGTTGATTCAAGACTCTGGTGTGGTGTGGGAGCTGGAATCAACAGGCAGCTCTTTCTTGGTGTGGAGGCTGGAACTGACAAACAGCTGGTTGTCAGTCCCAGCTCCCACACCTCACTGAAGTCTTGCACCAGCTTTGGTGCAGGCAGGGCTGGGACCAACAATCAGCTATTTGTAGGCTGCGCAGCCATCTTTAGCCCTGTCCACAGGACTTAGATCTTAGTAAGTATTACTGTATGCCTGTTCAGAAAACCTAACTCGTAGTTATGCTTTACTGCAAACTAAATAAAAAACACACGCTAAGTGTCCTATGTGATAAGGCCCTAATTGTGGACTTCAGTTTTGCATTGTAACCCATGTGGTTGACTTCTCGCCACAGGGTTCACAATATAGGATTAGGATCTTGTTGGAGTTTGAATCTCTTCTCCAACAAGTTGTCCAGAAGTTTGATTCTGCGCCATACAAGTCAATGGGAAATTACCCATGCTTGAATGGGGGTAGGAATGGAAGGAAGCTAGTGGAATATGAGTAGAAAATAGTGCAAAAGACTCTTTCAAAGCCATGCCTTGATCAGTAAGCTCTATGGAAGAATCTTGAGAACAGACTATCCTAAATCGTTAATCTTTAGAATTGAAGATAGATTTCTGAATTAAAATTTTTGTTCCATGTCATGCCAAGTCATGTCAGCTCAAGCTCATTTATTATAACAGGCCTCTGAGCATTACTTAAATCCAAATTCTCTGATAATGATACTACAACTTCTCAATTTTCAGCAAGACGATAACAAAAACAATAGGAAGATCTTATTTACTTTAAAGAACTGGATCTTTACAACATCCAGTTCGGCAGTGTGACAAAGCCATCAAAAAAGCTAATGGCACTTTATCGTGCATCAGCAGATGCATGACGAATAGGTCCAAGGAGGTGATACTTCCCCTCTATCGGGCGCTGGTCAGACCGCAGTTGGAGTACTGCGTGCAATTCTGGGCGCCGCACTTCAAGAGGGATGCGGATAACCTGGAGAGGGTCCAGAGAAGGGCGACTCGTATGGTTAAGGGCCTACAGACCAAGCCTTACGAGGAGAGACTAGAGAAACTGGATCTATTCAGCCTCCGCAAGAGAAGGTTGAGAGGCGACCTTGAGGCTGCCTATAAGTTCATCACGGGGGCACAGAAGGGAATTGGTGAGTATTTATTCACCAAGGCACCCCCGGGGGTTACAAGAAATAATGGCCACAAGCTAGCAGAGAGCAGATTTAGATTGGACATTAGGAAGAACTTCTTCACAGTTAGAGTGGCCAGGGTCTGGAACGGGCTCCCAAGGGAGGTGGTGCTCTCCCCTACCCTGGGGGTCTTCAAGAGGAGGTTAGATGAGTATCTAGCTGGGGTCATCTAGACCCAGCACTCTTTCCTGCTTATGCAGGGGGTCGGACTCGATGATCTATTGAGGTCCCTTCCGACCCTAACATCTATGAATCTATGAAACATAGCACATTCTATAAGGGGCATCTTTAGACATGTGTGATACTTCACCTGAGATGTCATAAGTATTCTAGGGTTTCCCACCTAACTGTATGTACCTGCTTTTGTAAGTCGCAGCCTAAAATCACATTGTCACTGGTTAGAATCTCAGGTAGTATATCACACCTTCACTCTCTTTAAGATATAGGTTGTTTTCAAGCATTTCTTTAAGATAAGAAATTGAACAAATGTAAGCATATGCATTTACTCATATATCAAACCTTTGTTACTATGTTTATATGAAGCACATGATGCATTCTACTATTTTGATGATAATGGCCAATTCAGCAAGACATTTAAGCTCATAACCTATTTTTAGTAGGTAAGTGGAGCTATTGAAATAAAGACTATTCATATACTTAAAGCAAATAATATATCACAGGGCTTGTCTACACGAGGAAGTTAATGCACAGTGAGGTCTGCCATGATTTGTGGCAAATATGGACACACTTAGCGCACATGCTCTTTCACAGCATAGTCACTGTACTCAAAGCCAGTCTCAGTGCATACCACCATGAATATTCACACAGGGAATTAGTACTGCGAAGTTAGTGCAACATAAACACATCCTTTAGGTTACTGGATACTAGCACCCCTGAAAGGACGTGATTACACCATGCACAGCTGTGCTGGGGAGTAAGCCATGGTAATTTTGGCACTTTGCATATGCAGCACAGGTGAGAGTGGGCAAGGCAGGCTGTCACGGTGTTGCTCTTTAGCATGGTCCAGGACAGCATAGATAGGCCCTATAGCTGTATCCACACATGCAGGCACATGCAGCTTGTGGCACCATAAACCTCTTTGTGACACCACAAACCACATGCTTTGCATATTAAACTGTGCACAGCACTGCCAATTTGCAGCACGGGTGGAAAATTTGCTACGGGGATTTCCTGGTAGCAAAAAAAAAACCTAGAAAAAAAAGCAGGTGCAAGTACGCCAAAATAGTATGCACAAGGACAAACACGAAGATGGGGGAGCAGCCATCTGTGACTGGCTGGGGCTCAGTGTGCCTCAGCACCGGGGCTCCACAATGCATGGAGACAGGAGAGCAGGCAACACACAGATGCCTGCTCCCTCATCTCTGTATTTGTCTCGGCGCATGCTATTTTTGTGTGCTTTGTCCTGCTATTTTTTCCAGGGTTTGTTTTTTTTTGCTACCGGGAAATGCCACTACTTTGTACCACAGCACACACCCCTGTATGTACCATTTTGTAGGCTATGCCCAACTCCTCTCAGCTCCTAGCTGGACTCCATGTGTAGCTCTCTGACTGGCTGGGGCACAGGGTGCCTCAGTGCAGGGGCTGCCTGTTGGCTGGCCCTGCACTGAAGCACCTGGTGCCCCAGCCATCCCCATCCCCTGCAGCACATGGAGCCTGGCCAGGAGCTGGACATGGCCCGCAACAAAGAGTACTTGCAGGGACATGCGTTGCAGAACAAAGTAGTGGCACAAATTTGTGCCACTGCAAGCGCACACTCCTGCTCATGTGGATGGAGCCTATGAGTCAGTAGGGTGAATAGGGGCATTCTAGTCCTAGTCGCGCTTTTGAATAGCCACACTGCTGGAAGCAAATTATATATAAAAATACCCAACAACTGATCACCAATTCATTTAGGCCTTGGAGGAGAAAAGACAATTCTATTTGAGTTTTCAAATAGCAGGAGAATTGAACTCAACTGATCCCATTTTTATTTAAATGTGGAAAAAATATAAAACTCTTAGCCTTAAGGAGAGCTGACCATCTTCTGGAAATACTCATTTGGCCTTTTTTTATATATATATAAATTAATCTTTAAGAGCCAGGCTTTGATCCCTTTACTCACATTAAATAGTACAGAAACATTACAGATGTTCCCTGTTAGGTACCCTCAGCATTTCTTTTGAAAAGGGGTCTTCACTTTCTGTCTCTGTTTTTTTATGTAGCAAGCTCTGTATATCAGCTAATGATGTCATAGAGTGTAGTTTTATAATATATACCTTGTTACATCAAGGGGCCAGAGACTTTTCATCCCTCACCACTAGTCAAATGAGAGCATTAGCATCAGTGCAGACCTCTCTGTGTATTATTCCTCCTCTTTATTTCTCCTAAGTCTCTGAG